GTTTGTTTGTGTGTGTATGTAGGTGTGTGTGTTTGTTTGTGTGTGTGTTTGTTTGTGATTGTTTGTGTGTGTGTGTGTGTGTGTATTTGTTTGTGTGTGTTTGTTTGTGATTGTTTGTGTGTGTGTGTGTGTGTGTATTTGTTTTTGTGTGTTTGTTTGTGTTTGTTTGTTTGTATGTTTGTTTGTTTTTGTGTGTGTGTATTTGTTTTTGTGTGTTTGTTTGTGTTTGTTTGTTTGTATGTGTGTTTGTTTTTGTGTGTGTGTGTTTGTTTTTGTGTGTGTGTTTGTTTGTTTGTTTGTTTTTGTATGTGTGTTTGTGTGTGTTTGTTTGTTTGTGTGTGTATGTAGGTGTGTGTGTTTGTTTGTGTGTGTGTTTGTTTGTGATTGTTTGTGTGTGTGTGTGTGTGTGTATTTGTTTGTGTGTGTTTGTTTGTGATCGTTTGTTTGTGTGTGTGCGTGTGTGTGTGTGTGTGTGTGTGTGTACCTGCTCCATGCGACTGATAGCCACAGTGTCCTCCAGCCCTCTGCTCCTCCTCTCTTTGGTCAGCTCATAGTAAACCTTGCCGGTGCAGAAGATCAGCCTCCTGACAGCCTCAGGGTTCTGGGCTGCAGGTCCGTCCTCCACCAGCAGCCTCTGGAAGTGAGTTCCTGCTCAGAGAGGAAGACCAGGATGAAGAGGAGACGTGGGCGGGACAGTAAAGACTCCACAGAGGGCTTTGTTACCAGGCAGCATCTCGTCGAAGCTGGAGCGAGCCTCCGGGTGGCGCAGCAGAGATTTGGGAGTGAAGACGATCAGCTGCAGAGACAAACAGGAAGTTCAGGGAGAACCAGGATCAATTTCAAAATAAAAGTCTAAACCGAAAAGACGACTTGGAATGATTTCTGTCAGCAGACAACATGAAAACTCTTCTGGTTCTGATTCTTTTAGTGACGTTGTGGTTTCTGCTCTGGGTCCCAGGGTTCTGGGTCCCAGGGTTCTGGGTCCCAGGGTTCTGGGTCCCAGGGTTCTGGGTTTGTGGTTCTGGTTCTCACCGGCTTCCTGAACGGCAGCAGGATCTGGCGCCGCATGACGTGGAAGTAGTTCCCAGGAGAGGAACAGTTCACCACGATCCAGTTACAGTCGTACAGCTGACGCACGGCGAAGTCCTCGGTGATGTTCTGAGGGACAGAACCAGAGTGAGACACAGAACCAGAACCAGAACCAACAGACGCGCCTCAGTTAGCCTTACAGGCATCACATCTGGGTCATCGTTGCACATCTGGAGGAAGCGCTCTGGACGGGCTGAAGAATGTTCTGGACCCTGAGGACAGAAGCAGACCAGTGTTAGAGGACGTGTCCTGGAACAGAACCGGGTCCAGGGATCCCCCGAGCCTCACCATGCCCTCCAGGCCGTGCGGCAGCAGCAGCACGATGCCGTTCTGACGGACCCACTTGGCCTGACCCGGACAGATGAACTGGTCGATGATGCATTGAGCCGTGTTGTGGAAGTCTCCAAACTGGGCCTCCCACAGGATCAGGGCGTTGGGACTCGCCATGGCGAAGCCCAGCTCGAAGCCTGGAGGGACGGAGGGGCGGAGTCAGAGGACGCCGTCAGCCGCACAGGAACAGGAAGTGGTGGCGACTCACCCAGGACGCCGTACTCGGACAGCGAGCTGTTGCACACGGTGTACGGAGCCTGGTCCGGGGACAGGTGGTTCATGGGGATGCAGGTCCTCTTGTCCACGTTCTGGTCATGGAGGACATGGTGCCGGTGGCTGAGAGGACACGAGACGGACGGCTTTAATGTCTGATTAAACATTAACTTACAGCTACTGTTAGCTACTGTTTCACTGTTTAACATTAGCTTACAGCTACTGTTAGCTACTGTTTCACTGTTTGTTAACATTAGCTTACAGCTACTGTTAGCTACTCTTTCACTGTGTGCTAACATTAGCTTACAGCTACTGTTAGCTACTGTTTCACTGTTTGTTAACATTAGCTTACAGCTACTGTTAGCTACTGTTTCACTGTTTGTTAACATTAGCTTACAGCTACTGTTAGCTACTGTTTCACTGTTAGCTAACATTAGCTTACAGATAGTTAGCTAGTGTTTCACTAGCATTAGCTTACAGCTACAGTTAGCTACTGTTAGCTAACAATAGCTTACAGCTACAGCAGGTTTACCTGAACGTCCCTCGCTCCACGTCCTGACCCGATAACCTGACGTGTGTCCCCTCCTTCAGCAGAGACCCAAAGGCCATGTACTCTGCCAGAGCCCAGTCCACTGTCCGGTTCCGGACCATCTCGGCCCGGCCCTTCAGGATCCGACTCAGACCTCCGTGGATGGTGAAGTCCTCCACGGGGACGGAGGACGCCACCTGTCCGATGTGGTTCAGGTTGTCCTCAGAGAGTCCGGTGGAGGGGCAGCTCATGGACTTGGGCTGTCCGTCCAGAGTGAAGAAACCTGAAAACAGTCAGCTGATTAGTCCTCAGACCCGGGTCTGAAGAGGACTCTGAGTCCTCAGACCCAGGTCTGAAGAGGACTCTGAGTCCTCAGACCCGGGTCTGAAGAGTACTCTGAGTCCTCAGACCCGGGTCTGAAGAGTACTCTGAGTCCTCAGACCCAGGTCTGAAGAGTACTCTGAGTCCTCAGACCCGGGTCTGAAGAGTACTCTGAGTCCTCAGACCCGGGTCTGAAGAGTACTCTGAGTCCTCAGACCCAGGTCTGAAGAGTACTCTGAGTCCTCAGACCCGGGACTGAAGAGTACTCTGAGTCCTCAGACCCGGGTTTGAAGCGGACTCTGAGTCTCACCGGGCCATGGGGAGTCCAGCCAGTGCTTGATGTGCAGGATCTTCTCGTCTTTGGAGCGAGCGTACGCCTCCTCACAGATCTTATCGTACTTGGCGATCTCCTCCTGCAGACGGACACAAACGGCTGCATCAGGAGGAGCTCGAACAGAACACCTGAGTCGGTCTGAAGACCTGGTCCTGGTCCTGGACCCACCTCGTACTCCTGCCTGCTCACGATTCCGTCTGCGATCAGCTTCTCTGCGTATTTCTGCAGAACCGGTTTCTGCTTCTTGATCTGTTTGTACATCAGAGGCTGAGTGAACATCGGCTCGTCCATCTCGTTGTGTCCCATCCGACGGTAGCACACCTGTGCAAACAGGTAAACAGGAAGGAGGTGAGACGTGGGACTGACTAATAATGAATAAAATCCGCTGACTCATCGTTCTGCCAAACGACAGCCAAGTAGAAAAGGTTTCTTTGTTTTATGTTCGTGTTAAACGGTGCAGAGTGAGCGCTCACCAAGTCAACAACCACGTCTTTGTGGAAGGTGGCTCTCCACTCGGCGGCCACCTTGCACACGTAGATGACGGCCTCGGGGTCGTCGGCGTTTACGTGGAAGATGGGGGCGTTGACGACTCTGGCGACGTCTGTGGGGTACGGAGACGAGCGCGCCATCCGAGGGTCGGTGGTGAAGCCGATCTGCAGACAGACTGAAGGTCAGCGGCCGAATCGTTCACCTGCAGCAGGTTGTCTGTTTACTGCTGTCACCTGGTTGTTGACCACCACGTGCACGGTGCCGTGCGTGGTGTAAGACGGCAGGTCAGACAGGTGGAAGGTTTCGTACACGATCCCCTGACCTGCGAAAGCTGCGTCTCCGTGTATCAGGATGGACATCACCTGGACACAGGTCAAACCACAACAGGTAGTCAGAGTCAGACTGACTGAAGCTCCGCCTACAAACCAGGCTGTGTGGTGACTGAATAACTGTGGGATGTGGGTACTTCCTGGATGACTGTGGGATGTGGATATTTCCTGAGTGACTGTGGGATGTGGATATTTCCTGAGTGACTGTGGGATGTGGATATTTCCTGAGTGACTGTGGGATGTAAATATTTACTGGGTGACTGTGGGATATGGATATTTCCTGGGTGACGTGGGATGTGGATACTTCCTGAGTGACTGTAGGATGTGGATATTTTCTGGGTGACTGTGGGATATGGATATTTCCTGAGTGACTGTGGGATATGGATATTTCCTGAGTGACTGTGGGATATGGATATTTCCTGAGTGACTGTGGGATGTGGATACTTCCTGAGTGACTGTGGGATGTGGATACTTCCTGAGTGACTGTAGGNGTGACTGTGGGATGTGGCTATTTCCTGGGTGACTGTGAGATGTGGATACTTTTTTGGTGACTGTGGGATGTGGCTATTTCCTGGGTGACTGTGAGATGTGGATACTTCTTTGGTGACTGTGGGATGTGGATGTTTCTTGGATGAATAATATACAGTATTATGCTGACTGGTATGTGAATACTTCCTGGATGACTGTGGGATGTGGATATTTCCTGGGTGAATAATATACAGTATTATGCTGACTGGTATGTGAATACTTCCTGGATGACTGTGGGATGTGGATATTTCCTGGGTGAATAATATACAGTATTATGCTGACTGGTATGTGAATACTTCCTGGATGACTGTGGGATGTGGATATTTCCTGGGTGAATAATATACAGTATTATGCTGACTGGTATGTGAATACTTCCTGGATGACTGTGGGTGGTGGATATTTCCTGGATTTTTAATATATTATGCTGACTGTGGGATGTGAATACTTCCTGGATGACTGTGGATGGTGGACATTTCCTGGATGAATAATATGTTATGCTGACTGTGGGATGTGAATACTTCCTGGATGACTGTGGATGGTGGACATTTCCTGGATGAATAATATGTTATGCTGACTGTGGGATGTGAATACTTCCTGGATGACTGTGGATGGTGGACATTTCCTGGATGAATAATATGTTATGCTGACTGTGGGATGTGAATACTTCCTGGATGACTGTGGATGGTGGACATTTCCTGGATGAATAATATGTTATGCTGACTGTGGGACGTGGATATTTTCTGGATGACTAATTTGTCAGACTGACTTTGGGATCTTCAGACTCACTCTGTTTCCATTGGTGTCTCCGCAGTAGAACTGCTCAGCTTTGGTTTTTCCCTGAACCACGGGGTCCACGGCCTCCAGGTGGGATGGGTTTGCCACCAGAGACAGAGTGATGTTCCGGTCCGTCACGCGGTTGATCCGACGATGGTACATTCCCAGGTGGTACTTGACGTCTCCGGACCCCTGCGGAGAAGAAACACAGCAGGTCAGAAGTTTATTGAGTCAAACTGCAGGAAGCAGCAGTAAAACTAAAACCCTGATTAAAAAATACTTTTTAACATTTCCTGTGGTTTGCTGACAGAAATCAGATGTTTTACCTCATCAGCAGCTTCCAGCTTGGAGTCAAACTGACAGAAGATCTGCTCCAGTTCCTTACGAATCACATTGGCCAAAACGTTCAGTCGACCCCTGAGACACACACACAAAAAAAAAAAAAACTTTATGGGTTCGGATCTAATAAGAACATGTTGTTTTTTAGAAATACATTCAAAGATAAACTAAAAATACATTTAGACAATTAAAACTTTGATTTCTTGGTTTCCTTGATGTTTTTTATATAGATTAACAAAACACTAAAAGTTCCAAAATGTGTAGCAGATCAGACTGTTCCTGAAAAAAACGTTGTTTATTTTTTTTGTACAGATTTGTGATTTGTAGAGTCTGGTGTACCCTCAGGTGTGTTACCTGTGAGGCATGCCCATGATCAGGTACTCTAGTCCGTTCTCGGAGGATTTATCAATGATGGTTTTCAGAGCCGGGATCAGAGACTCACATCCTTCCAGTCCGAACCGTTTCTCTGCGGACCACTTCTTCTGCAGGAACTCCTCGAACCTGAACACACGAGCAGATCAACCATATGAACCTCCTGTTAGTGCACACCCCTGTTGGTGCACGCCCCTGCTGGTGTTCCAGGTGTGTTGGGTGGGGCGTACCTGGTGGAGCGGACCATGCGGGCCAACAGAGTCCTCTTCTCCTCCAGAGTGAATTGCATGACTCCGGGGGTCTCGAACTTCTCTCGGATCCACTGGCACTGCTCCAGGTCGTTGATGAACATGAACTCCACACCGATGTGCTGACAGTACGCCATCTGACACACAGACACAACGCTGACTCAGCTGTTCAGGCTGCTGAGTCATTATTTCTGACAACGGTTTTATCTCCTGTCCACACTGATCCAGGAGGAAGGCTTTAAAAACCTCTGGTCTGAGTGGACAGGAGGAGCAAAGGGAGGAGGAGTCAGCAGACTGGGTTCACCTCCAGGCGGCGGATGATCTCCTTCAGCGGCAGCGCCGTCTCTGAGCCTCCGATGAAAGTGGTGGTGGGCAGCCGGAACACCTTGTCCAGGTCCGACTCATCCAGGCCGTAGAAACCTACAGGTCCCAGGATGCAGAGCGGCAGAGGGGAGGGGCAAGAAGAAAAGGGGCGGGGTCATCACAGAGGAAAAATAAATCAAAGAGAAGGGCAGGAGGTGAGGAAAGGTTGTAGGAAAGAGATGAAGGATGAACGAGAGCATGCATCATGTGTTAGAGACAGAGAGAGGGACAGAGAGAGGGACAGAGAGAGGGACACAAAGGATGAATTTTGTTCTCAATCAAACAAACAATGTTTTAATGTTTTAATGTTTTTGTTTTCACTCAAAAACATTAAAAACACACAAAGGTTCATAACTCAAATAAAAAACTGGAATAAGACATCAATCTGAGGAATATTTAATCTTTTCATTATAAAACAGGCTGAACTTTGGGTTTAGAAGCATCTGTGTGAGTTTAAATACAATCACTGACTTATTAGTTCAGACAAATCATCAGTTTTATCACAACAATCAGGGCAGAAAGCAGAAAGCAGAGCTGAAGAACCAGCTGAACGAGTCCAGCACTGATCTCACATGATGAGTCAGGGTTTGATTTAAAGAATCAAGGAATCAGTTTATTGTTTTACTTCTGATGTGTCTGAATGTTGTGAAATGAAGACGGTGGTCTGTCAGCTCTGCTCTCTGGTTGGTCACACAGTGAGCAGCGATGAGGTCATGGCAGCGGGCGGGGTTCAGAGGGTTGGGGTGTTAATGATGGGGGGGTCAGAGGGATGTTCTCTGTGTGGGTTCCTGTCGTAAATAAAGCCCGTTTCGTCTGTAAAAACAGTCAGGCAGACGGACAGCCAGCTCGGCCAATCAGAGCGCAGAGGCAGCAAACTCAGCCAATCAGGAAGCTGATCAGAGCTCACAGACAAACCAACGTTACCCATCTGACTGCAGACCACCCGAAACTGAGAGTGACAGTCTGACTCTGAAACAAACACAACAGCTTTGATTTAACACAACTGAGACCAGAACCAGAGGAAACACCTGGACCAGGACCAGGTCTGGACCAGACCTCAGATCCTCAGAGGGAACTCAGTCTGCCTGTTTGTCAGCCACAGCAAACAACAAAACAAGCTTCAGAGCCAAAACAAACCGTCTCCAACAACAACAACAACAACAACAACAACAACAACAACAACAACAACAACAACAACAACAACAACAACAACAACACAGCAGCCAAACATTATAAAACCACATTACCCACAATGCAATGTTTCTTCATGTCATTTGGTGCCTTTTTCATGTCCATTTGTTGTCAGTAGTGTGATCTTTAGTCAGTTTGTGGTCTTTATGAAAGTTTATCTCACTGAGCTGAAAGTGATGGAGACTCAAACTTACAGAAAACAGTCTTCAGTTTCTGACAATCACCACCTGTAAAACTATTATTATTATGTAATAACTGTTATTTCACCTGTATTATAACCCATTATTGTTATTATAACTGTAATAATAAAGGTTTATCTTATTTTATCTTAACTTATCTTATCCTATCTTAACTTATCTTATCTCATCTTATCTTAACTTATCTTATTATCTTATCTTATCCTATATTATCTTAACTTATCTTATCTTAAGTCATCCTATCTTATCTTATCCTAACTTATCTTATCTTATCCTATATTATCTTGTTTTATCCTCTTATCTTATCTTATCCTATCTTAACTTATCCTAACTTATCTTGTCTTATCCTATCTTATCTTATCCTAACTTATCTTATCTTATCCTATATTATCTTGTTTTATCCTCTTATCTTATCTTATCCTATCTTAACTTATCCTAACTTATCTTGTCTTATCCTATCTTATCTTATCCTAACTTATCTTGTCTTATCCTATCTTATCTTATCCTAACTTATC